GATCAATAATCCCCAGCACAAACCAAAACTACCCAGGACCTAGGTGCCTGCAACTCGGGCAGATGGATCAATACTCAGACAGTAGCTCTGCAAATATCATCCTCAGCTTTTTTCATGACGATTAAACAAGCCTAGGGCAGGGCCAGCTGCTACGTTAGAGAAGTAGAGGGAGACACGAGTCCTAGCACAGAGACGTTTTGCAAAGGGCTACCCGCCTGGCCTACTGGCCGTTAAGGTCGGAAACTGCAGCGGGGGCTTCTGAGCAGTGCGTGCTCGTCCTCGTGCGCGCACGTCCCCGTGCGCACGCGCCCCTCTCCCCTCACAGCAGCGGACGGCGGGTGGCCGCCGGGTGCAGACCAGCACGGTCAGAACGGCACTTGCTGCTGTCGGAGTGCCTGCGCAACCCACTCCCTCTTCCCGATGTCCGTGTGGGGAGCACCGTGGGGAGCACCGGGTACATTCACCCCCAAGAACTTCGCAACGTTAACTCCAGCCGCACTCCCACTGTGTTACACAGAAACACAACTGACTTGCTGCATCGATCGCGCGCCCGGGGACCCGCTAAAGGGCATTACTGGTCCCAGTGACGATTGGGGGACATCTCGCGGTTTTTCACGGCGATCGTTGCTCTGTGGGTGGCGGCTCCGCTCTCTGCGGACCTGGACGCCCTCGCGCTACTCGGCGGCCCCAGGACGCACAGGGACACTGACAGGAGCCACGCGCGCACGGGGCAGCCAGGCAGTGTGCGCGGCCTTCTGGGCGTGTGCCTGGCCTCCACGGGTCTGAGGACCGTGTCCGCTGCAAGTGTTCTCGGCCACTCCCTCATTTGCCGCGTGAATCGGTCCCGGAGGGTGCGGCCCCCCTGTCGGTGCTGCCTCGCGAGTATGGATGAGCCCAGATGCCGGAGAGTGCCTCCTCTCCTCAGCCCACACAGCGAACCCTGCGTGCTGACGTCCTTGAGGGCGTGGCCCTGTGGGCGTGGCCTGGGTGAGCGCACGTGACCGGAACAACTTCCCCACCCTCCATGGCATCGGCACACGTGGTGGCGGCCTTTGCTCTCGGTGTTCCGAGGCCGGCTGACGTGGTTCTCGCCCTTGCCGTTCCTCTCCTTGCAGTGTCGGGCGGACTCTAGGCCTCAGGTGAGGGACGCGCGGGAGCCGCCGGCCTGCCTTCTTGGGGGCGGGCCTGAGGACTGGCGCCTGGGCCTGGGCACAGAGTACGCTGCCGGCCCTGTGCAGGGGTGGGGGTGGGGGGCGCTGCCGGCCAACACTACGACCGCGTCTCCGGCTCTCGCGTGCCCAGCGCGTGACTCTCACGGTGTTCGTCCACGGACCTGAGAGGGGTTGTGGGCAGCCAGGGCTTGCCGCTGAAGGGCCCCTGCGGCAGCCCCACTGCCCGTGGGCTCCGTGGCAACGCCCTGTGGCACTTTGGTCACGGGTGACTCGTGTCTCCCTCTGTCGGGACCGTTCTGGCTAGAGTTGAAATAGCTGTGGTGAGCTTTGCAAAAATGGTCCTTGGGTCCAGTTCCACTTCCATTTCGTTTACTTTGCTCCTCCCGATTACGGCCTTTCTTCTACTCAGCGTGTAGCGCTGCTTTGTCCCCGGGCTGACAGAGCGAGTCCACGTGTTTCGGGCCTAACGACACCCGTGCCCACCCTGGAGCCGCCGGGCCACTTCCCGCGGGTGCACTGGGCCCAGGCTCGTGCCTCAGAGTGCGCCTGCGCGGAGGCAGGACGTGCTGCCCCGCCCACGGGGCGCTGCTGAGGGTGCGGGTGACTCACGCTGCGCACTGCGCCGGACACATTACCGGTCATTGTCTTGCCTCACCGACGGCCAGGATGCCTCACGCCGCGGAGAGTACCTCTACCTCCCTCCCAGTCTCTGGGGACGGCATCTCCGGCGTCTTGGCGGCTCATGTTCGCGGAGAGGCTTGGCGTCGCCGGGCTACGGCATTCGGATGACCTCCACACAGATGGACACATGGACCTCAGCTCGCCACGCAGCTCCACCCGAGGGGAGGCAACGGTGGAGGACGAAGAGGAGGACCAACCAGCGAGAGCACTGCCGCCAGGACAGCCAGGCCTGCTGCTGGGCTCAGGCCCACGGACACGCCTTCACTGCCCAGCGTGGTCTCCTGTGTCCACGGCACCCACGTGCTCCAAACAGAGCGTGTCCGGGGTTTGCAGGTGTGGCGCCCCATACCCTTGCGTGCGAGGGAGCTAATTAATCCTACTATTAACTTCTACTCTGTTCTGCCCGCTTTTGACCTGCCTGGTGTCTCAGTACGTTTTCCTTTTTTTTATCTACTTGGCATCCTTTTGATCTGATGGTTTTTTTACGATGATACAATGTTTCCTTGTGTCCCCGTCAATGTTTTCCTCTCAGGTTCTGCTTCCACTCATTAAAGTGCTCCAGCTCTGCTTTTGTCTGTCTTCTCTTCTTTCAGCCTCTCGGCCACTCAGCTTGAGTCGGCGTCCTGGGTGCGAGGCGGCTGCGTGACGGCAGTTTCAGGACACAAGAGCTGCAGTCCTTAGGCAGCTTGGACTCGTTTGCAGCTTCAGAACCGCTTTTATTTCCAGACTCACCTCAGCCACTGCTTTCCCTTTTCGGTCTGCCATGCTTCCTTCTTTTGCTTTCTTTGGGAGAGAAGTAGTGTCTTCTGGTGTGAAAATGATGCATTCTATTCTCATTCCCTCAGTGGTTATCTCTTAACATACGGAGACCCGTATTTATTTTTCATGATGCAGATCTTAAATATCTTAGGTAGTCACACCCTAACTCTGTCTCTGGTGAGAGCCCTTGTGCCCACTCGGTTCTGTCCTTCCACAGCGTCTCCGTGTCCCGAGGACCATTTCTTTCACCAGTGCTCGTCTCCATGCTCCACACCCCCAGCTGCGAGGCCCCTACCTGCCCATGTCCTCCCCCCTTCCTGCCGTCCCCTTACCTCCCCGAGTGCGTGCGTGCTGTCCTCAGCTGGGACTCCTTGCCCTGGGCAGTGCTGCTGCCGATCCCTGAGGGGCCCCCTCTTTCTCCCCCATCCTCCTGCCTGAGCTGTGCCTGCCTGAGCAGTGGGGGGACGGGCCACACGCACAACCAGAAAGCCCCCCTCAGCCAACTCCAGCCCCCAGTCCTCCTCTGCCCCCATCTCCCCTCTTCCCCCTCTTCCCTAATGGCCTCGGCCAACCCCAGGGGTTCCACACCATTTCCAACTTCGTGCTGACGGGACTCACCGTAAGCCCCATCAATCTTACGCTCTCCTGTGGCACCTGAGGACTGGGTGGGGCGGGGGCGTCAGCAGCCCATGCCACTCTGTCTGCGTCAACTCTCTTCCTCAGTAGCATAAATCAGGTGTTTGCAAGTCCACTTTTTCAAAGGAGCTCTATTACAAAACATCGTGATATTCATCTTAATTGAGTGCACGTCAGGAGACTAGAACAGTGAGAGCACATCGTCTACTTTGGGGAGAAAAGTACTGTTTCAAGGTGGGAGCGTGACAGGCTACATAAGCAGACAGACTCTGAAACTAGCCTGGAGGTACCCTGGGATCTACACAGAAGGGCCGGACCACAGCGAAGGCCACAATGACGGCCTCCAGAGAAGAAAACCGTTTAAATTCCGCACTAAACCTCCCTCTGCTAAGGCCTGAGACAGACTGAGATGTGGCGGCAGAGCAAGGAGCAGGACACCTTCAGCCTCCAGCACCGCTGCCCTGGGTCCATCTCCGAGAGGACCCTGGACTCCGTCTTCAGACGCAACAAGTAAGAGGCAGAACAAGTTCACAACAGAGCGCTGAACGAGTGGGCAGAAAGTCTGCCCTCTAGTAAGGACGTGTTTTAGAAAACTCGAGAGGGAACAGATGATGAAGCCCATTGTCGAAAACCAGCATTTATGTTCCCAGGTAATTCTGACTGATCCTCGGCTGGGTGTTGAAGACAAAGCACAAAGCGAACATCGCGGTTAGGGTCTGAACCGAGCCGGCACAGCGTTCCGTGCCGCCAGGCCCACCGCATCCCTGCACCGCAGGGTCTGCTGCCGCCTCCCGTGGGCCAGCCGGACACGACATCCTGAGCTGACGAGCACAGATCAGTGCTGCATCGTTAACATTTAAACCCTCAAAATTCCGATACTTAACTAAAAGGCCACAAGTTTCCTGACCTCTGTTCAGTCCTAAATAACGCCATCACCGTCACTGACTGACGATACATGAGAGCGTCCGCCTCATTTCACAGCAGCTCCCAAGCACAGGAGGCTCTGGAGCCACTTCCAGTCTCTCACAAACGTCCCGTGATCACCCTGCCACTCGGTCAAAGGCAGAGAGAGTCCCGGGGCCCACACCTGCCCCGCAGTTCCTCCTGGGCTGCGGGGGAGGGGCCGCCAGGAGGCCGTCCAGGCAGCGGGCGCCCGGTGCCCACGCCTCACCTGGGCCCGGCCCCCCAGCAGCTGGGTGACAGCTGCTGCCCGGGGGCTCTGCGGCGAGCCACCAACCGGACAAGGAGGTGTCAGGAGACTGGCAGGGCGGTGTGCGGGAGGACGTGGGATCGGGCAGGACACACATGCGTCCCACCGTGAGCCCTGCTGGGGACGCAGGGTCTGATGTGTAGGTTCCACTGTGTTTGAGTGCTCCCTGCACCTCCTCAGTCACACTCACAGATGGAACTGCCAGAAAGGACGATGGCAGAAGAAAAAATCATGATCTTTTTTAAAGTTCTTACCATAACTGGGAGGTTATACTTCAGCTTAAGGAGTTAAATGACTTCTCTGTTCATGGCAGCCTTTTCCCAGAAGGACATCCACTTGCCAGTGTGCCCATCCTAGTGCCGTCTGACACCCCCCAGTGAACACAAGCAGCTCGCACGTGCAGCTGCCCCAGGACGGAGGGGCCCGGCAATCTCTGCTCCAGCCCAGTGTCACATCTGAGACCAGCACTAACACTGGGGCCCAGGCCTCGGACCCGTGTGATTCGGGCCCTGGGGGTGCGCCCTGGGAAGGGGGCCACTCACCAGCGCAGGGCGATCTTGATGGGGGTGGTGAGGCAGGATGTGAACAGGTCAGCCGGGAGGTCAGGGATCATGGGCAGGAGCTCAGTGGCCTCACATGCTGCCAGCTGGATGCAGTTCTTCATCGACGGGGGCAGTGGCATCTGGGCCAGCGGGTGGCTGGGGTTGATGGCGGCAACCTGTGGAGAGCGTTAGAAACGGGGACGTGGCTGCCGTGCCCTGCAGAGAGCAGGCTGGGAACAGAACGCTGTCGGGGGGAGAAAACGGCAGGCCGTGGCCATTTTCTTGCATTTAATCATTTGTGCCCTCTATTTGTTAGACACTGGTGTAAACAGGTGACTTTTTTTTGTCGGTTTTCCTGTGACCGTCTACTCAATAAAAGTGTTAAAATGTAAGCATTTTTTAAAAGAACAAGCCTAAGAGGCCACAGAGGATGGCAGATAATAAAGTGACTAACACGCGTGTGAAGATACGAGCTGGGAGCCAGTTCTAATTTCCGCTGTTTATGCCAGGCGACGAGTGAACAACAGCCAGCAGCAGTAGGTGCCATGGAGAAACCAGGCTGATCTGCACTGCGATGGACGGAGACGTGGCCGCAGCTGATTCCAAGCCAGGTGGGGACTCGCGGGCCCCACCCACCTGCCACCTCAGATAATGGATTTTCGTTTCTCCTCCTCTATCGGGACCTAGTAGTCAGCTAAACATTTTTCCCTCAAAAAGATGCATGGAAATCTTCTTTGTTGCACTCAGTGAAATGAACAGATTTTTGGCTGACGAATCCTTGGCAGCACAGAAAGGACACGTGGCCTTCGCAGAGTCGAGTCACAGTGCACGAGGGACACAGACGCGTTCACCTCTGGTGGGGGGGGGGCTGTGGATGCCGTGGGGACTGTGCTCCAGGTACCAGGCGGACACACTTCTCCCCCGAACCGCCCAGAAACTTACAAATCAGGTTTAGGTAGGGTTCTTTGGCACTTTTATTACATGTTATAAATGTAAAAAATTCCTTTGCGATATTTATTTCTCGATGTGAGGAAAGGCAGGCTGCCTCCCGGTGCCATGTGGTCTCAGTGCCCCGTTCCAGGGGCAGGCGGGGGCACTCAGGTCCATTTTCAGGAGTAAAAGGCGTTATGTTTCTCGGTCTTACGCCACGTTCTGTATGAGGACTTAAGCACGGCCCGCAGTGACGCGTGCGGTGCCGTTTCTGCTCCTGACTGAGAAGTTCCTGCCCTGCAGCCCTGGGGCCGTGCAGCGTTTATTCCCAGGCTCTCGTGCAGCAGCGGGATGGGGGCTCCTAACTCAGACCGCCTCTTCAGCTTCTCGAGAATGCACCGTGTAACTCAACGGCGAATGTTAAACTGCCCGCTGGGCTGCGTCCCGTGGTCCGTGTGTGCAGCTCTCGGCTCTGCACAGACACCACGGTGGCAACTGTGCGGCCAGTTTTCTCTATTAGCTGGACGGCTTCTGTTTTGTTTAGGTTTTTTGTTTTTGTTTGGAAACAGAAAGGAAAATTGAGGTACTAACAAAAACACAAGCAAGATGTAGGTCCATTTCTCCTCAAATGAATGATTCTGGCTCATTTTCACACATCTCTGGCCAGTAGAACACAAATCAACTGTTAGTGTTATCAGCTCATACTCAGGTTAGTGACTCTGAGTAACACGAGATGTAAAAAGAGGTCCATCCACCAGCCCACGTGTCCCCCACGTTCTCACCGCTGAGTGGCGGACCGCCCAGAGCAGACCTCGCTCAAGAAGGGCAGGGAGTGTGGAGGCCAGCACCCCCCACCTGCCACCACGCCCCTCCCGACCCGAGGACGCAGCTCTGGGCGCCCAGAGCCTCACCTCCAGCTCCTGCTCCCTCTGCAGGGCGAACTGCCTGAAGGACTTGACGACGAGGCCGGCGTTGGAGCAGTCATAGACGAAGATGGACGGGCTGCCCATCCACGTCTGCAGGTCGTAGATGGACAGGGGGATGTACTGCGTGTAGTTCTGCAAGAAAACAGGATGTGTGTGGCTCACACCCAAGGCTCGTGTCAGAGGGGGTACCGCATGCAGGCCAAGCCGCAGGACAGGTGCCAAGCTGTTGCTGGCAGCAAGGGCCAGGGGCTGTCACAGGTGGACCCGGTCCCATGCTGCTCTGTTGTGTCACCAGGTCCACACTTGCCCAGGGCTCAGCTGTGCTCACTCCATCTGTGGTGTCCCCTCCCTGTGTCCCACCACTGGGCCCTCAGTGTCACCCTGTTCCTGCCTGCTCCCTTTGGTGGCTGAGCTGCCACCAGAGCTCAGCTGTCCCTCACTGACTGAGGGACACGCTTCCCACACCATTTTGCCACTCGGTGTGGCTGGAACTGCTCTGTGCTTATCCCTTCTTACTATGATGGGGATGCACAAGACCCTCACCCTTGCTTGTCCCCGCTGTCCCTGTCACTCTGGAGACAGCCGGAGCACGTGCCCTCAAGGTAAGGAGACATCCCCAGGTGAGGGGCACAGCGGGCTGGGCCCTGTCCTCCTTCCAACCACAGGCAGTAACACAGCTGCAGGAAGCATCTTTCTGGATGTGCCACACCGTTCCGCACACTCCAGGGGGCCGGGGCGCATGGGGAGGAGTGCCCCTCCTCTCCTGGAGACGCAGGGCAACCACCCACCCGGCGGGGCATCCCTAGGCTACTCTGCCTAGCACCGGCCCGGCAGTGAGTCTGGCAGAGGCTGATCCTATACACCTGTGGCGAAGGGGACTGTGTTTGGGCAGCTGAGGCTCACACGGCCTCTCGTGCTGCCAGCAGGGCTGTCCGTGAGGCAGTGGTGAGGAGGGACCAGGACAGAAGGCCGACAGGCCTGGGGACGTGTGTTGTCAAGGCAGCGGGCAGCAAAGCAAAGTGCCAGCTGCGAGGCACGTCCCAGCACGGTGGGGCCGTGCTCTGGGGTCCTGCGGCCTGCTGGGCATCGTGTACCGTGCAGAACACGGGGCACGAGGTCTGGCTAAGCTCTCACGGGAGGATTCGGGAGGCATCAGTTCCCCCTAGTGAGCCAGGGAGTCAGTGCGGACGTAACGCTGGGGCAGGCAGAAGTGCAGGGGAAGAGCAGAGGGCGGCTTTCCACCGAAGAACAGTGAGCAAGGGCTTGCAGTGCCTGATGTTAACCGCACTTGGCGGAGTTGGGGAAGCCGGACAGAGCCGCGGAAGAGAAAGCAGGCCCTCGCGGAGCTGCGAGGAGCCGTGTGGAGGCTGCGTTTCAGCTCAGTGAGGAGGACGGACCGCTCCGTGAGGGGCTCGATATCTCCCCAGGCCTGCCCCTTTGTCTCCTTGTCCCCAGGAAGGGACACGGTCACAGCAGACCACCTCTGACCGTGCAGAAGACAGGTGCAGAGGGACAGCGGAGCTGGGCCCCACACCACGGTAACGCCACTGCAGCCCAGACGGCCACCCAGACTGTCACGGCCTGTCCTGGATTCCGACACATCCAGCAGGAGCGGGTCCTCAGCAGAGGAGGAGCCATGCGTCCCGACCGGAGAGCCCTGGGCAGCTGCAGAAAGACCGCTCATTTACCTGCGGTGGCGTGGAGGAAAGATGTCAGAGGCTCGGGGTGACTTAAAAGTGCACGTCACAGAGCTCTGCCCACCACAGGACCCCGCTTTGTGGGGACACAGCGAGCGCGTGTGCAGGGAGGCCACAGGCCATGCGTGCTGAGCTGCTGGGCCGGGGCTCCAGCCGGGGAGGCCAAGGCGTGTGTGTGTGTGTGTGTGGGGAGGGGCACAACTATTTCTTGTAGAAACTTCTATAAATTACTTTTATTTTTTAAAAAACGTACACCCACTATTACAAGGAGGGCAGAAAGGTAAGCTCCAAGGTTGACGGTGTCTCTCTGTCCTCTTGGTGTTTCATGAGGGTCACGGAGTGCGTGTCGCCTGCACAGTGAACACCCCTCAGCGTACACCCCACTGGGTGCAGCAGGACAGGCATGACCACTGCCACAGCCCAGTGGAAACAGCCCTGCTCCGGCCCCCGAGGGAGCCTCCCCTTCACAGCGACCTGTGGCTCCCGCTGGGGGGGGGGGGAGGGGACAAGGACCGATAAACCCTTCGTCTGGGCAGGGACACCTGCCCTTGGAAGAGAAGGGCTGCAGCAGCCTGGGGTTTGCTTCACGTGTGCGTGTGGCCACTGAGTGGTGTTCTTTACACCCCACACGTTCTCAGCTCTGCAAGCGCCATCCACATGCGGCTGGCGAAGTGCTGAGCATGTTCGAGCCGCCGAGGCACCCGTGTGACCGTGGGGACGAGGCGGCTGCCGTCAGCTTCGCTGCCTTCTAGGGACAGGCCCCCTGGGCCGCCAAGAAGCAAGAAATGAAATGTATTTTAACATGTCACGTTCTGAGAGCTTGTCTTTTGAGCCGAAACGCAATTTTTTTATTTTCTCCAAAATCGAATGTTATATTTCAAGTTTCTGAGGCACAAACTGAATTAATGGTGACTCACCAAAGCAACAAAGCCCTGACCCAGGGGCAGACCCCACCTCTGAGCACAGCCGGCTGCTGAGGCCAGAGCCCCCCTTTCTCATGCCCACCTGGCAGCACACGGGCAGCCCTCTTTCTGGTTGTCCCTTGGCCTCTTGGCTTCTGGCTGGAGGGTCCCGAGACCCTCCCCATGGAGAGGGCACAACTGCTGAGATGCACATGCCCTGTGGCTACTCCGCCCGCCATGGTGGGGGTCACCTGATGCGAAGCGATGGGCGCAGCACTGTCCCGGGGCTGCATGACCTTTGAATGCACCCATGACCTTGACTGCTACCCACCAGGAACCCTTCTCGTCCCGCCCAGCTGTGACCTTCAGGAAGATCTCTGGACTGTCCCAAATGTGACCTGAGGGACATCTCCCCCAGTGGGGACTTTGGCCTCAGAGTAGGGAGAATTTCACTTAAAACAATAGCTGTGTACGTGAGGCTTAGTGAGGCCACCACCGCCTGGCAGCCTGTCCCTCAGGAAACAGCATCAGCCATCGAACTGCCTGAGGACAAGGACCTCTGGGAGCTGACCCGGTGAAGACAGGAGCAGGCAGCCCCCAGCCTGCAGGCCCCAGCTCAGGAGGGGCCTGGGCAGTGGGTCCACCTTTGGGCCGGAACGACAGCCCACAGGCACGCTGAGTTGGCACCCTGGGTGCTGCGGGGGCCTGCAGAGGCAGCAGCAGGGACAGATACCCAGAGTGACTGTCACTCTCCGGCCCTGGAGACGCCGTCCAGGCTGAGCCACCCACAGCAGCAGCGGAACCCAGAGCCCCTGTGCGTGCCTCAGCTGCCTGGTCCCCAGAGCCAGCAGGCAGCAAGCTGGGGTCTCCCCCACACGCCACGGGCACAGAGAGTCCTAACCAGAGCTGCTTTTCTCAGGGAAAAACATAGTCAAGGCCATGTTTTCACTGCGAACAAGGAAACAGAAATAGGTTTTAGAGAATTTATTCATCACAATGCACTGTCTGTCAGGGCATATTAAATAGCAGACTGTGGTCACGCTGAGCTCACCGCAGAGGCAGCCAGGTGCCAGGGTGAGCTGGGAGGAGGGCATTTGGGACCCAGCATCCACCTCAAAAGCAGCAATGCCCCACTTGTGAGAAGATGCCGAGTGGCCTTCCACCAGTCACCTCCCACCGTGACCGGTGGTCTGAGTCCTGTGGAAATGGCACCCTGCTGGGCCCTCCCACATCCCCGCCAGGACGCTGCTTCCTGACCTCAGACCGGAGCTTGGGGGGCACACCTGCACACGCGAGCGCTTGCGGCTGTTGTCGAGGAGTTTGGAGGGCGGGGCGAGGGGGAGGCCCCTCCTCCTCCTGAAGGTGCTCTGAACGCAGGGCTGCAGCAGCAGGAGGTGCTGGCCCAGGAGCGTGGGCCGTCTGGGGGGCGGTGCTCGAGAGCTGCGTTAGGCCGCCACCAAGGATGCAGCAGGGTCAGAGGATGCTGTGAGTTCTATGCAGACGTGACCTTTCTCCCTGTAGGCGTCAGGACTGCACTTGTGTGTGGTGCTGACGGAGGCATGTTGGGGGCTCCTGACGGCCTCTTCGGAGGAGTCAAGTTTCAACGAATATTTCCTTGATGCTGACAGATGAGATCTCAGACCATCTTAACCGACTCCTCAGACGGTCCGTGTTTGGAAACCAGATCTGCCAGAGAGGCCCAGGCACGCTCCCACGCAGGTCTTCTGTGGCTGGGGAAGGGTGACAGTGTGCACTTCCCACAGGTCCCACGAAACCACCACTGCTGTGCGAGGCCCGTGTCCTGAGCGCCCCACCGCAGGTGCTGCAGGAGTGCAGTGCCCCAGGGCTCGCCCCAGCCTGGTGCCACCTGCCCGTCTTTGTGTGAGGAGGAACAGGTGTTTCCTTCTCTCTGTGACGTCAGTCTCAGGCAGTCCGGCACATGAAGGCCAGCGGTGGGCACAGGAGGAAGCACCCAGGGGTGGGCGGAGACTCTGCACCGTGGCAGATGAGTGGGAACCAGCAGATGGACAAGGGGAGGCCTGACAGCATGGGGTTCTGGGGGCAAGAAGTGGTCCCCAGGCCCCGGTGAGATGATGGGTAGCCAGTGATGTGGGCCGGGGTGCTCTGTCATTCTACAGTTACTGGGATGAAAACGCCACAGCAGGTGAGCAGCGTGTGTAACCTGAACAGCTCACAAGACCGTGGGTGCCCAGGGCTCCTGAACACGGCCCTGATGGACAGGGGGCAGGCTGATGCTGGTGTGGCTGTGTCGGAGGGGAGATGGGAGGTGGTGGTGTCTCTCACCTATGACCACCGCCCTTTGCTCCCAAGTACCCAGAGACCAGGTTTGCTGGAAGAGCACCCCCCACCCCTGCTGTGGCTGCACCCCTGCTCACCCTCGGTCCACCCTGGGCGGCGACCCCAGGGGCACCCTGAGTGTTCTCATCTGTGGCAGGTGGGCAGCTGGGTGTCTGCACCTCTGCAGCCCCAGGGAGCCTGGCATTTATTCCAAGGGACACTCATAAGTATACTGGAAATGCACCAGGGGATCGCACTAACCCGCTGGAAAAGCAAACAACTGGCTTGACTTTGCTTGTTTACGAGCTTAAGAAGGAAGGAAATCTGCTGCCCGAAGGTGCCTGCCAACCTTCGGGAGGAGCAGGCCCCACCCTGGCCTCCCTCCCTCCACATCTTGGTCTCGGGAGCTGGGTGCACGCGCTCCGCTCCTGCCTGCGCTTCCTGCGCCGCTCTCCCGGAACCCACTCACTTCCTCCGTTTCATGTGTAAGATGAGACGCTTAGCAAGGCTTTAACATGTTTTCCAACCTTTATTGTAAAGTCCATTGACTTGTCCCAAACCAGACAGGTAAGTGTAAAGGCCTTCCCTTCCCCCAGGCGGCTCTTCCACGGTCTCCCTAGCGGAGACCCCTGCCACCTCTCTGTATCCTTCCAGAAACACCCGCCCTCTGGGAGGACACGTAATGCCAGGTCTCGCGGGACCGCTCTCCACAGCTGCTGCCGCCTCCCTTCCAAACCCAGCGCCTCCAGCCCCACCTGTGTGGTTCACGCTACCCACACAGTGTCCAGCAAAGGCGCCAGGATGATGTTAGCAAACACGCTGCTTGTTTCCGGTTTGGCTCTGCAAACCATGCTGCCCGTTCATCTCCTCGCTCCTTCGTGGGAGCGGCTGCTGAACAAATGGTATCCCAGGAGCCAGGTCGTGGGGTCACAGCCACGGGCCCGGTGCCGAGACTGGAGGCTTGCTCCTCCGTTTTCTATGAGACCTGACAATGTTGTTTCATTGCTTCTTTGCTTAGGGAGCAAACCTGTTCCTATTCTTATCAGACATCTGTATTTGTCTTTGAACTCCTGTTCGCACGCGTTGTCCACTCTTCTCGTGTGCTGCTCTTACTGAGGACTTCTAGTTGGTCTACACCAGGTGCCTGCTCACTGAGGGCGTCGGCCTGACCTGCTGTGCAGACATCCCCCATCTGCCAGCTTTTGTGACGCTTTCCTGTAGCGTAAAGATTCAGTTTCCATGTCATCAAGTTGACCAGTGCACCTACATAGATTATGTAAAGTGCTTGGAAAGGTGTCGTCATGCAAAAATTATCTTTAAATACCTACAGATTCCTCTAAAGCTTTGTTATCCTTACTCTTTTTCACTGTCACAGATCCCACTGTGGTGACAACTACCCAGCATGAGACAGACGCGACGAACACAGCTGGCCTGTCTGCGCCCTCTGAACCTGCTCCAGAGCAAACAGCCAGTTGGGACACAGGGTGCACAGCCCCGCCGTGCCTGGGTGCCTGTGGCCATCACCTCGAGCCATGGAAAGGAGCCTGTGACTCCCTCACACGCAGCTGAAGGTGCCGCTCCCGCAGTTGGCTTGTCTGCCCAACACCGAGTTGGTGCAGCAGCCACCCCGAGTCACGTGGCTCTGATGCATTCACTGTCCCTGCTGAACGGGTGTTACCAGTACCAGTCAACCTGGAGCTCATTCTGTCTGAGGTGAACTCCTCCGAGCAGTGCCTAGCTGTGACCACGACTTCTCATAAGTAATGGGGTTTGCGACGAGGACAGTGGTACCCGGCTGCAGAAATGCTGGCAGGAGGTCTCCACCTTCGGACGCAACAAGTGCATCTGCGGTGGGAAGCGGACGGTGCTGAGTGAGGTGTGGAGGTGTCTTTGCAGTTCATGCTGTGTTCCCTGGGGGTTGTGTCTGGCCGTCCGTCTGTGTCATCGCACGTCTGCCGCTGCGCGTTCTGCTATTAGGAGCGACTCCACGGCCGACTGGCAACAGATGCTCAGGACGAGGGAGGACCCGGGGCAGCCGCCGCCTGCACGCTTCCCTGGGAGGGACGCGCCCTACGAGGCCTCGCGCTGTTCTGAAGGAAAGCAAGAATGACGTGGCCTGTGTCTTAGTTTTGTTCGCTTTGGGTGCGAGTCCTTTACCAGGTTGTGTTTTGCAAAACGTTTTCCCTGGTCTGTGACTTGTGTCTCGTCTCTTCCAACGGGCTCCTGCATTCTGGGCCTAACAGGCCTCCGCGAGGACTCTGCACTCTGGCTTGGTTCCATCCTCTCTGGAGTGTGCGTCAGACAGGACGAAGGTGGGGCCGTACTCCGCCGCCTGCAGGACACGCCCCTGACACGCATGCACAGGAGCTGAACACCAACAGGTGCTCAGCGCAATCCCCAGTGACAAGAGAGCTGGGGTGGCCGGACTTCGAGACAAGGAGTGTTCCAGGGATGAAGGGACAGGCTGCGACAACATCAAATGTCCTGAGTGTACACGCATTAACGGCAGAGTGCAGGACGCCTGGAGTGTCCGCCAGGCCCAGACCGCCATCCAGTCCGAAGAGCTGGGTAGCCCTCCGTCAGTCGGCCACAGGAGAAAACGGACAGGCAACCGCTTCCTCCCGAAGAAAAAGCCAGACATGGCGGTGGCATCTTTTCTAGTTAAAAAAATCAGAACCGACACGAGAGGCAGGGGCAGTGCCACCCACGGCTCTGAGTGAACGAAGACCAGCGCCCGCCCAGCCCGGCCACACACTGGGTCATGAAGACACCGCCGTGAAGCTGAAGGGCTGAAATCACACTGAGTGGACTCTCGGAGCACCGCCTCTGAACTACGGGGCAGCTGGGAAACCCTCCGGGACTCGGAAACTAAATAACATCCGTGCCACAAGGGATGTCACAATGAACGAACTGCACGGCAGTGAAACTGCGACGTGTCTCAGGGACTGGAGCTGGGTGTGTGTGAGGGGACAGCCTGGAATCCTTAAGAGAAAGGAAGAGAGACTTAAAATTAAAATCTGAATGTCTGCCTTAGGAAGCTAGAAAATAATGAGCAACTAGACTCAAGGAAGGGAGGGAGGAAGGGAGGGAGGACAAATCAGTAACAGAGAGGGGAGGTGTGAAGATGTGTGTGCGTGCGTGTGCGTGAAGGTGGACATGGTGGACAAGGTCCTACAGAGAAGAGTCCACGTGGAGGAACAGAAGGAGTGGAGGGCGGCGTCACCACCTGTCCCACAGACGTAGAAAGACACGGAAATGGGAATGACTTTATGCCAATAAATTTAACGAGTCAAATTATATGGAAAGTGTCCCTAAAAATACAATTCACCAAAAGTGCCCCAAAATGGAAGTGAGAGTCTGAACCGCCTGCCCATCAGGGAATGGGCCTCGAGGCTGCAAGCCCTCCACAAAGAGCCCCGCAGGGGGCAGCCCCAGGGCCTGGCCCCGCTCACAGAAACCCTCCCGGGCGCCCCACTCAGCGGGCGCCCCACTCTGCAGGTGCCCGAGGAAGGCTGACCCGGAGCCAGCAGGCCCGGCGCTGCGCTGGGGCCGCGCTCACCTTGTTGAACACCCAGATCTCCCCGTTCACCGTGGGCCTGGGCACCCCGTGGCCGTTGTAGTGGAAGAGAACCCGCTCCTCCTTGGCGTTTCGGCGCAGAGACGTGCAGAGCTTCTTCACTTCGTCCACGGTTGGGTCGAGGCTCTGCTTGTACCTGGCCTGTGGCAGGAGAGAAAACAAAGGGACTTATGTGGACTCAGGGGAACACCTAGAACACACCCCCCCACTTCTGTGTTGGCACTAAGAGCCACGCGACCCGGGACAGGGCATGAGCACCTCCGTCTGCAAAACTGGGACACAGATGGCATCACACGGCAGCTGTGAAAATCCATTCATTCAACAAAGGGGCAGAGGAGAGCGGAGAGGGGCTGGCCCCAGAGGGCTCCCCACCTTCTGCAGGAGCAGGAAGAGCTGTGGGGGGGAGACCACAGGAGATGGGCCCAGCTCACACCCTGCTGGTGCCCTGCACACGATTTACAAGGCCTGGCGTCCCCTGGCCATGTCACCTTAAGCGTGCGCTGGTGACACACTTGGTGACAACAGGGATGCAGGGGCAGGAGACACAGGACTGCAAGAGCTGTAGGATGACACAATTCGAACACCAGGTTCCCCAGCCTCCCAAAGCCTTACACCTGCAAGGACAGAGCCCTAGGGTGCCTGAAGGTGGTTACAGCCCCACGTGGGGTGTCAGGGCGCTTCCTCTGTAGGGGCCAGAGCATCGTCCCTGAAAGGTGCAGCGTCCGGGGCAGAGAAGTATAAGCAAACGTATCAAGCGAGGTTTTCACGTCTGTCTTCGTCAAGTTAATCTTGTGGAGGGGCTGAGCGTCCCCTACTCAGGGGTTCTGCCAGAGCCCATGCCCCCAGGGACATGGGGTCACTCACAGGGGCCGCCAACTGATGCCCCTGTGGGGAGGTGGCGTGTTGCCTGCCGCCCTGGGCTGCAGCCCCGGGCCGGCTCTAGCCCACCTAAACCACGTGCTCTGGAAGCACTGAGTCAAGGCCCAGCCCTCAGCCCTCGTGCAGGAAGCAGCTCTTCTTTCTCTGAGCTGGAACCTTTTGTTCTGTGCTTACAGGCAGCTCCCTGCCACCAGCCGAGACCAGGGCCCCTGGAGGTGGGCGTGGTCTACAGTCCAGCACCCGCTGCTTTTTGGGCCATAGTTGCCGAGTGACTACTAATGGTCACTGATGCTGACCACAGCAGTCAGTCACGTGACAGATCAGAGCCACAAGCCCTTGTGATGCTGAGGTGACAAGCAAGCGCACCCGGGGCACCCGGGTGTCCAGGTGGCACGAACGACACAGAAAAGCGTCCCCAACTCGTTCCTGATAAACTGCTTGTCTGTGACCTGGGTGACGGGGCGAAGGGGAACTGAGGCCCAACCCCGCCACACCTGCGTCCAGTCCACTAGAACGAGACGAGGGCAGCTGGTCGGCCAGATGCAGCTCTGGGGCACCGAAGGGCGAGAGCTGCTGCGATGCTGCGTCCTCAGGGCCGCGTCCACGCCAGCCCCCGTGGGAGCAGAGCGGCCCCTCCAACACACACGGACGGAGCGGAGCACCCAGGAGAGCCGCTCTTCCAGCCAAAGCAGCACCTCAGCCACCGTGACGTGGCCTGTGCACCCCAGAATTTAGATGTTTCTGAAAATCAGCTCCACGGTTGGCCATACCAGGCGCAAACAACACCTGACCTCGGCAGCCGGTCTCATCTGGGCCTTTCACAAACATCCCTGCCCTGTGATGGAAGCGCGTTTTCCAAGGCGTCCCGACTTGACACCTATTGTCCCAGCACGGAATGCTGCACTGCTGGCTGCGCTGGGCTGAGCGGGGCCCAGAGTCATGGGTGGCCCCACGAAGGAGGGGAGGCTGCGCCATGCACAACGGTCCCAGGTGGTGAAAGGCATCCAAATCAGGATCTACTTTCCCAGAGGGCACAAAAGAGCTGCCAGCATTTTAACTGACTGCCAGCAAGAGGGACTCACTCTGCACAGAAACCCAGCTCAGTGACACGGTGGCTCTCCAGGGGCTCCTGGGAGCCCTGCCCTGTCCAGGGCCCTGCGCGTGCTGGTGCCCTGACACCTGCAGCAAGCGCTCCCAAAGGCTCCTGCAGGGGACAGAGAAGGAGGCGTGCTGTGCTCACCACCACCCTCACCGGGGGCCTCTGCCCTGCACGCTGTCCTGCCTGGTGGGGGCCACGCTACCCAAGCAGGTTGTACCCACCTCACCAGGCACAGTGCACGCCCGGCAGGGTCAGCAAGACCCCGCATCATGGGCTGCAGGTGCAGAACGCCTGGGAGGCCCACCGGGCAGCGGGGACAAGAAGGGCAACAGGAAAGGGTCCGCACCGAACCCACACACCCTCTGTACTGGCTGGCTCTCCCCAGGCTGCAGAGACGCCACCAACAGGAGGAAGTCGGGGCCCCGACACACGAAGCAGCTGCGCCCGTGCACCGACCCCAGGAGCCGGGCTGACCTCTCGGTGTCTGGGCCACCTGCCCGCCCACAAACCGCTGGGCACCTTGGCATGGGAGTGAGAAGCGCCCCTCCCACCGGGCTCCTCTGGACTCTGCACCCCCCACACACAACCCGCCCCCGACGTGTCCAGTGCTGTCTCCTGAGACTTGTCCTGCATAAGAGTGTTGTTTTCCAAATGACACACAGGGCCACAGTGTCCACAGTGCTCAGAGGCGCCGATGAGCTCAGGGCCCGCTGTTCCTGACCTCAGCTCCACGCAGGCCTTCCCTGCAGGGCTGCAAAGATGACTTAGCTCGTGCTCTCACCCGGCGCCTGGGAGGACACACTAATAGGCTGGCGTGAAAGGCCCTCGGATGTCAGGAACATGCCTCCTGGGGCTCCATGGGAATTAATTAATATTTTTAAGGGCTTTGAAATGAGAGGCAGTAAATTAAATGTCAGCGCAGCAGAGGTTCTGTGTGAAAACCAGGCGGCCTGGGGCAGCGGCCCCGTGGCTGAGGACGGGTCGTGGAGGGCCAGCCAGCTGCTGGGGCTTTGGCGTGAGCCGGTTCGGGGATGACAAAGCAAGTCTCTGAAACAGGCCGACTGCACCAGGCATCGCTGCCCAGTCCCGCCTCTCAAGTGTCACGAAGTCTGCGCACAGAAACCGCAGGGGACACGGCAGAGGAGAGAACGAGGGAACGGATGGGGGGGCCAAGGGGGAGCGAAGGGGACCCCGGCCGGCTCCTCGGCAGGAACGAAGGTGGACGATGCTCCCTCCGGCCCCCGACTCTGTAGCGCCGGGTCACAGGTCAGACCAGAGGCTCTGAGGTGCGGGAGAGACGCGCCCGCGCCCCGACCAGGGGTGGAGCCCGTGACCCTGCGGTGCAGGGGTGATGCTCCCCCCAGTCCATGCCGTCTGACTTCTGACACAGCTTCTTCCGCTTCAGTCGGAGCTGGAGGCGACTCCACGGCGACGGACTCCTCGTGGGAGTGTCTGCATCTCGTCGAAGTCTGCTCAGGCCACGCGAACCTCTGCCTCCCACCAACGCAGGGCTCGCCGACCTGTCGGTTCCCAGAGCACCTTCACGTCTTGGGGGAACGTAACGCCATCACCCGCTGGGCACAGTGATTTGTACGAGAAAAGGCCGGCGGGCTCTGTGCCGCCCAGGCCGTGTGACTTAGAGCCTGCGTGTCCTTGGGCCTCCTGCCCACAGTGTCAGGGGCTTTGGCTGGCACAGCCCTGGACGGGACAAGGAAGGAAACCATGTCTGCAGGGAAGAGAGGCTGCAGACTAGAATGCCCGGCGACTGGTGGCTGAGGGGGAAGAGACAAACTAAAAAGAAGCGGTTAGATTGATGGCTGACTTGTAGCCACACAGAGGCCAAAAGACACAAAATCACATCTTTGACGCATCAGAGGAAGATGAGCGCCAAGCCCCTCGACCCCCAGGCCACAGAGTGAAACACACAGGCACCGAGATGGCAGGACTGAGAAAGCCCCTCCCAAAAGGAGAGCACGTGCAGGAGGAGACTCTGGGGGGAGCTCAGATGGGGGAGGAGCAAGACACAGGGCCCGGGAGGCAGCAACAATCGAGTCTGAAAGTGTCCCCAGAAAGGGCCTGGGAAGAACATCCCCCAGACACGGAACACCTGTCACTGGCTCAGAGACTGGTCTTGGAAAACAAGTTTCTCACTAAAGGCAACAAAAATGTGCTGGGCAAGAGGCTTCTTCTGGGTGTGGGACAGGAAGTGTGGGAGATGACCCCGGGCTGTCACTGTCGACCACGCCAGACAGCAAGGAAGCTGTGCAGAAACGTGAGGGGCGAGGGCCATCGAGAGGACTTGGGAGCCAAGCCGGTGGGGAGAGGCCCAGCAGACGCGGATGGGGCTGTGTGGCTGAGCTCGCCCCAGCCCCAAACACAGGGACTCTGGCAGTCCCTGGAGCCCAGGGACCAGCTGCCAGTGCCACTCGGGCCCTTTGTGGAGGAGGATGGGAGTTTGCACCCCTCACCCAAGAGCGGTCTGCAAGCCCCTTGGCCCTTTCTTTCAGCCAGAATTCTGCTCAGAAATGCAAACAAACGGATAGATGAACCAACACTTAAAACAATCTCCCCAAGTTTGCAACGTAACATAAAGGTCTACAGGCAACCCACAGTCTGGCAAGGACTTAAATCGGGAACACGTGAAAGGGAGGTCCCCTCCCAGGGCACCTCCCCCGGTGAGCTTCGCCCCAGTCCCCCAGCTTTCCCGTGCTCAGCCCCCAGGGCTGGCCCTACACCTCGGGGCAGGGGCTGCCTCCCAGGGCCCAGGAGCTCCCCACAGGGTGAAGCCCACTCTGCACTCCTGGTGCCTGTCTGGGCATGGCCCACAGCGCCGGGTTCAAACCAGCTCAGGAGGATGGGCCAACACCCCAAAGTAAAGCCTTGCTCTTCCTGGTGCAGGGTCCCAGTGGGGCAGCGGCCAGGACGGCGCTGATGTGGCCTGCGCGTTGTCCCCACACCTGTCCCGTTGTCCTCTCAGAACAGCAGAACCCACTCTCTGTGAGCACAGGGCCAACCAGGCAACACTCCCCAGTCTCCTGGGGAAGGCGCTGAGTATAACTCTAAGGATCTTAAAGATTAAAAAACAAAAACCAACCAACCAACCAACCAACCAACCAACCAAACAAACAAACGGGGTGGGAGCACATTCCTACCACTTCCCTCT